GGCTGCAGGAGGAGCAGTGATGGAGGTGGCTGCAGGAGGAGCAGTGATGGAGGTGGCTGCAGGAGGAGCAGTGACGGAGGTGGCTGCAGGAGGAGCAGTGACGGAGACGGCTGCAGGAGGAGCAGTGACGGAGACGGCTGCAGGAGGAGCAGTGACGGAGACGGCTGCAGGAGGAGCAGTGATGGAGGTGGCTGCAGGAGGAGACGCTGTCCACACAACCGAAGGGCTGAGAGAAGGAGGTGTCAGTGGAGCTGAGGAGACCACRATGGCAGGAAGATTACTGCAGCCTATAGGAGGAGGAGAAAGAGGAGGAGTCAAAGGAGGAGATAGATGAGACAGAAGAGTCAGAGGAGGAGTCATAGGAGGAAACAGAGGAGGAGTCATGGGAGGAGTCCTAGGAGGAGTCCAAGGAGGAGACAGAGGAAGAGTCCAAGGAGGAGACAGAGGAGGAGTCATGAGAGGAGTCCTAGGAGGGGTCCAAGGAGGAGACAGAGGAGTCAGAGGAGGAGACAGATGAGTCAGAGGAGGAGACATGGGAGGAGTCAGAGGAGGAGTCAGAGAAGGAGACATGGGAGGAGTCAGAGGAGGAGACATGGGAGGAGTCAGAGGAGGAGTCAGAGGAGGAGACATGGGAGGAGTCAGAGAAGGAGTCAGAGAAGGAGAAATGGGAGGAGTCAGAGGAGGAGACATGGGAGGAGTCAGAGGAGGAGACATGGGAGGAGTCAGAGGAGGAGTCAGAGGAGACATGGGAGGAGTCAGAGGAGGAGACATGGGAGGAGTCAGAGGAGACATGGGAGGAGTCAGAGGAGACATGGGAGGAGTCAGAGGAGGAGACATGGGAGGAGTCAGAGGAGGAGTCAGAGAAGGAGACATGGGAGGAGTCAGAAGAGGAGTAGAGGATGAGTCAGAGGAGGAGACAGAGGAGGAGTCAGATGTATCACTGCAGTATACTGTTACCATGGTAACCAGACTGACTCCTCCTCTCCTCCGAAGCATCAACCTGTCGGGGTTCAGGTCCTGTTTCCACGGTGACGGTAGAGACCACCTGGGGCTGGACTCTGACAGGGGTCTGGGCCCGTTTGGGTCGGCTCCTGGTTCCTGCAGGAGGAGGAGGAGGAGGAGTCTTTTTGCCGGGGAGCGTCCTGCTGCCTGCTGACGGCACCAACGGAGACAGAGGACGAGGTTTAGGAGCCGCAGGAGAAGGAGGTCTGTTCCTGGACCGTGAGACACTGAGGAGGAGAGAGGAGAACCATGAGGAGAACCATGAGGAGAACCATGAGGAGCAGAGAGGAGAACCAGAAAATCCTGAAGCTTCAGCTTTTTTCCATGAAGCTGTTAACTCATCATCCAGAGGAGTAACATGAAGAACAGGAGGTGGTTTCTCCTCCTCCTCCTCTACCTGCTCTCTGGTCTGGATCTGTGGATGGTGGCGCTGGGTGATGATGTCATCAGTCTCTGCTTCTGTGCTCGGTCTTTGGTCAGAGCGTTCTTCTCCTTCTCGTTCTCCCGCTCCTTGTCCTTCTTCTCCTTCTTCTTCTTCTCCACCTGGAGGAGGCAGGAGGAGAAGGAGAACCATCAGAACCACCTGAACCACCTGGACCACCTGACGGTGCATGCAGGAAGTGGTCCCGGTTCTTACCGGAGTGGAGTTGCGTCGGCG